ACACTTTGGGGTGAGGCTAACATTGAAATTGGCTTCAATTTACAGCTTAGTTTTATGTTTAGACTTTTAGTCCATCTTTTGCCCTCTAGTCCCAACCCCTTGCCTCCAATTCCTGCTCCCAGGTGTGCTGGGAAGGGATGTCAGTATGTCCCACAGCTCAGGCAACTGTCTTAGACATGACATTCCCCAGCCTGGCTTCTTTTCCTTGTATTTTACAGATAACATTTAGGGTCTCTTTGAGAATCCACAGGTTCTTTGTGTCAAGACACAGTGTCTAATCTTGCTCAACTGCATGCTTCAATTTTTTTTTTTTTCCCTTCCACTTCTGCAAGTACTTTGGGATGGACCAGCTCAGAGCTTTTGGCAAATGAGTTGCCAAAAACTTTACCAGACTTGCTGATGTGTGCATGACTGAATTGTAGTTTTACAATGACATTTTTTCTTCTCTGATTAGTAAGTTACCATGGGTGTTTTAAGTTTCTGTCATTATAGAGTAAAAGCTCTATCCAGCCACTTTAATACTTTACTCATAGCTTATTTTAAAAAGTAAAGGCAAAGGTAGCCTAGCAAAATGGTGGGAATAGATACCAATTGTATTCTTCAGCCTACAAAACTACTGAGCACTACTCCAGCCAGGGCAAAGTAAACTAAAATAGGCCAGAAATAGCCCCTAGAATATCCATTGTACACTAGGGAGCTCTCTGCTTGTGGAGTGAATTGGGTGACGTTGCCAATATGGGATCAAAGGAAGCAGACTGGGAAGAGGATCCTGTCTTACACGCAGATTAGTCCTTTTCCTTGGAAGATAGGAAAACTGTTAAGAGCTAACTGGCTAACATTTTTCAAAAGTATTTCAAGTCTGGAACATGTAATTGAATTATCTGAATAATAACTGGACACAGAGCACCCACTAATCATATCTTTATTCCCAGAACTTCTTATTAAACTGATGAATGTCTTCTAGCAAGCTGTCCATCCTCATTTTAGAGCTTTCGTGTGATAGTGAATGTGCTTCTTCTCTGGGTAAATTGCCCTGTTGTTAATTATAGGGTCTGTTGAAACTTTGGATTTTTTTTCTAATCTGAGCAGTTCTAGGTTTATCTTCCAACCATGTAATTTTATTATACCATTTTCTCTTCTGTTCGAGAGCTGTCTACCAGCAGATACCTCTTCATCTTTTGAATAAATTGAGCGGAGTTAACTCATTAGGTTCCCTAGTAGCTCAAATTCAGTCTTTTCCCAGTGCTCCTGGTGGCAGTGGAGGCTGAGACAGTCCATACTGGGGCTGTAGGGCAGAGGTGCTGGGCTGAGAAAGGCACTGCAGTAGTTGGGGAGCAGGCAGGGACATGGCCAGAGCTGCACAGCCCTGCGCCTGGCCCAGTTAGCCCTGCACCCAGCCCAGTTAGCCTTGCTGAGGATTCTCTTTTTAATTTCTTTTGGGCTTTGCTTGCCTGAGCTGCTGCAGCACGTTGCCAAGGTTGGCAACTGAGCGAAGCGGGAATAAGGGAGCAGGTGAGCTCTCAAAACACTTCATATCACAACCACGGTGAATTTATGCATTTCCATCTGATGGGCTTAGATGCAAGGACTCTGTTCAAGTGGGGAGAGGACAATAAGAGTACAATAAGCTTTGCAGTTCAGGGAATCGTGCCAGATGAAGTGCTGACGACTCTTTACCCAAAGTGCTGATACACGTATTGCAAATCTACATTCCTAATGCATGCTTCAAATCCAAAATGAGCAGTGGAACAATGCTTCCAAGCATGGCCGTGACATTCATGAAAGATGTATGCTGGGGCCAGTAAAGCACCAAATATGCTTTAATTACAGCTCAGGTTGATATTACTGGCAGAGGTGTAATACCACTGATTTTTGTCTTTAGAGCTCTGTAGCCTCATCAAGAAATTAAAACATTTGTGGGTCTTTCATGCAGTCTTTCTCCCTCTGGGATGTTTAAGTGAGCTGGCTGTCAGCATGGTGATGCAGGCTGGAAAGGTTCAGAGAATTACCTTGCTAGCATGACGGCCTCTTCCATTTCGACTGCAATCCAAGGCCTCTGAGGCATTCATTGAAATTCTGTGCACGGTTTGTTCCTCTGGTTGTTTAACAATCTCTCTCGTGTTTGCCCTGATTTTAAAAATCCTCCTTTGTAGCAGAGATAACATAGAGCAGGATGATATAATTGCAGTAAAGAGGCCCTGGAGCTTGCAGTAATAGGATGGTTCATCTGATGTGTGCTGCCGTTAGAAAATAACCCACGTATGGATGTTCTCAGGGGACAGTAAAGAGGCTTTTAAGGATTACGCTTTATGTAGTATGAAAGCTAATGAGCAAAAGAGCAAGTATGAAGAAAACTATTGCTGCAGGAAGCGCAGTGCCACTTCCTGTTCCCACTCATTTTGTGACACTTGTGTAGCTCCAAAACATCCATCTCTGCCCAGCAACGCATGGCTTTTTGGGGACTGCCATTCATTTTCCAAGACTTTTGAAAACACTGTATTATTTTCATTTCACTGAAAAATAAGTAGAATCACAAAATGGTTTGGGTTGGAAGGTACATTAAAGACCATCTTGTTCCACGCCCCTGCCATGGGCAGGGACACCCTCCACTAGCCCAGGTTGCTCAAAGCCTCATCCAGCCTGGCCTTGAACACCTCCAGGGATGGGGCATCCACAGCTCCTCTGGGCAACCTGGGCCACTGCCTCATCACCCACACAGGAAAAAAATTCTTCCTAATACCCAGTCTAAATCTCCCCTCTTTCAGGTTAAAACCATTACCCCTTGTCCTGTCCCTACACTTCTTGGTAAAGAGTCCCTCCCCATCTCTCCTGTAGCTCCCTTTAAGTACTGGCTGGCAGAGGGAGTAGGAAAGAGGTCTTCTCCTGACTCTCAGGGTTGTAAGCCTGTTGGAACAGGGGTGAGGGGTGCGCATGCCCTACAGGCAGGAGAAATTGCTGAAGTCCTTGAAGAGTAATAAGATTGTTAAAATAATAATCCATAGCCTAGTGGACCTCAGCTCTTAACCTGTCCTCTTCTTGTATTTCTGCACCTGAAACTTAGAGTGGTTATGCCGTATACTAAGCAGTGTCTGCTAATACAGAGGCGATTTTCAGGGCAGAGGTATGTGTTATTTTAACACCCCCATGAGGTGTTCAGCATAAGGGTAAATACTTAGTCATTGAGCCCTGGTACACTGTCAATCTGTCATTTGTTACAACATCTGGGACTTACTTTGACCACCACAAGTGACATGAGATGAATTAGCTGTTGCTGCATCTGCTTGTTGGTTGACCCCTCTCTGCTTAAATGTACAGTCTTGCAAGTACCAGAATAGTAGTGCTAAAATTTTTATTTCTGTCTTTTCACCCCTTTCCCCCTCCATACAGGAGGAGAAGAGGACTTGTAATTTTATTATTGCTGTATAAGCCTTCTGTAAACTCAGTTACAGCACTTCTGATGTTGGCAATTTTTGGGACTGAAAAATATGCTGACACTGTGTTTCTGCATAGGAAAGAGCAAATTTGAATGTATAGTAATCTGGTGCATTTGGCAGATGTTTGATGCTATATCCCAGCCAAGTTAATCACTCATGGAATTATTTTTTTTAAAAATTTTGCTCAGTTGACTGGAGACATTAATCTCATATCTGTGGAAAGGCATCTTGAATGCCAAAAAATTGATCAGAAATAGCCAGCATTTATCTGGCATCAGAAAAGATTTTGAAGGGAAGCTATCAGTTGGCAATAGACTGTCAGAAACAGACACATTGATTACTTTATTTTTCTTACATAATGAAGAAGTACCCAGGTGATGATTTCCAATTCATGAAGTATATTGAACTGTGTATTGTATTCATGAATATAAATTGAGCAGACGTGATACACATTTTTCACAGAAAAATAAGCCAGTGTTGCTCCTTCTGATAATTCTTTGCCTGAAATATGCTTATTCTGAGAACATCACTACCGAGTTAATAGTGCACTGTATAACTGTGTGCTAAAAAATACGACTGCTAAAGAACAGGGAATGTCTTAAGGAGAAATTATCCATTGATTTATAATGACTGTGGCTGGCTGCATTTCTCAAGGACAGAATCTTTCTGCATCTTCCTTTCCCTTCCCACTCTTTCTGCAAAATCCTTCATCTCTAAATGGCAGCATCGCCCAGCCAGCCCACTTCCATCTGGTGAGGCTAGTTCTCCGTCTGGATCCCATTGCTGCCAAGCAGCGTACCACTCACGCTTCCCATCCACGCTTGTGCCTCATTAGCAGCTTTGCCCACCGGATCATCCAGACTTTGCCCATTCCTCAGTTAGCCCTAGAGGAGCCTTCCCAGCAGAAAACCCGCAATGTTGTGGTGACTCTGAATGCAGAGCCAGTGGCAGGTTGAAACAGAATCGTCAACTTTTCATCCCTGTGCAGCCACTTGTGTGTCAGCAGCATTGCTACTGAGCAATGGGGAGGACCAGACAGTCCTCAATTTATGAATTTCCTCTTTTGCCAAACATGAAACTAGTAGGGTGGAATATGACCCCTGATACGCTCTAATCATATAAAAAGCCTTGCAAGTAGGAGCCAGTGTGGGTAAAGATTTTTAAATAAAGCCTTCTCTGGGTACATCGTGCTAGGGAGCTGCATTATAAGAAAGGTAAGAGGGTAAGATAAGAAACATGACCTGAAAGAAAACTACCAGATTAGACTGGGAAGGCAAAATCCTGGTGTCCTTGAAGCTGGTGGTCTCTGCTGTGGGGTTGAAGAGCATGAGGAAGGTGTGCTGCCCACTCCTGTTAGCCTGCCAGGGCTGTAACTCACAGCATTTGTTTCCTCCCCTTCAATTTTCACTTCCAGTAATGCTTCTCTTCTAGAAATAGAACAGCTTTTTGATGAATGTGGGAAGAAATAGTGCAATCATTTTGCTGTTCCTTAGAACAGTTTTAAATTTCGAAACCAGGACACCCCTACAAGTGACAGCATATTTGAAGACATCTTTCTTCTTCCAGGTTACCAGCCTGTCCTGCCCAACCAGCAGCAGGGGTTCCAGGGTCTCATGGGAATGCAGCAGCCGCCCCAAAGCCAGAACCTGATGAGTAATCAACAGGGAAATCAGGTGCAAGGCATGATGGTGCAGTATCCAGCCATGTCGTCTTATCAGGTACTTGGGAGCCAGACAAAAAAGACTGCTTTTCTTGGAGAGTGCTTGATTGAATTAAGTTTTTATATTGCAGAATGGTGTTTATGACTTCATTAGGACAATGTGTGGCAGGAGACCTCCTGGTAAATACGCTTCTAAGGCAAATTGGTTTTTTTGTTTCCTATTTATGTATTCTTAGTACTCCTGATTTTCATTCTGAATTGGGAGTGCTTCGAATGATCTGTTTATTACAGCCTACGGTGCAGGTACAATGTCACAAAGGATGAAGGAATTATATTTCTTCTTGTGAAGAAAAGGAATTTAAAAAAATAAAAGCCAGAACGTTGCTCTCTTCACAGTTTTGGGGTTTTTTTTGTTTGTTTGTTTTCTTTTTTTTTTTGCCAGTGCAGTATTGTTTCCTGTAATGAAGTTCAGGGCTTTGCCTGATTCAGTTAAAAATTCCTCCTCTGCAGAGACGACTCCTGGCAAGGATCTCACCACGTCTTCTGTAACAATCTGTATCCACACAGATTTCTGTTTATTGGGTTTTGGGGAGAAGGAAGGCAATGACTTGGTTTTTACCAAGTCCATAAGTTACCCAGACTTATGTCCCTAACTTTATAACTGGTTTCTGTGAGGTATGCCAAGAGCCTGTGAGAGGTGCCTGCACTTACGTTTCCTGCTGGTTCCTCTGGAAAGTTAAGAAACTAAATGACATCTAATTTATTTTAATAGATTCCCCTGATTGAGCAGCCATTCACCCTTTCCCTCAGCTTCTCTGCAAAGACTGCAGCAACCCAGCTGGATACGGGGGAATTGCTTGTGGGTAAAATTTTCCCCTTGCATCTTCAGGATTCCGATATTGAAAATGTATTTTAAAGGTTAATGATCAAGTTAAAGGTTTAGAACTTTTAGATGGCCCAGATATTTCAGGGTTGAGTCTTCTGTTTGCACTGATCCAGAAGTTCCTGTTCAGATAGATCAGGACGGAGCCCCTTACTAGACCTGGGAGCAGAGGAATTTCTCTTTAACCCTTTTCTAACAGGGAAAATCTTCAGGGATGAGAACAGTTCTGAGCAGAGGAATTTCTCTTTAACCCTTCTCTAACAGGGAGACTCCTCAGGGATGAGAACAGTTCTGAGCAGAGAAAGCAAGACATTTTGGCAGAACATGTTGTATATGCAAATATAGGGATACTCGGGACCTACTTCAATTTGTTTAGTAATTACTGGTTTTTTTCCTACATTTTTCCATGTTCCTACATAGGTGCCAATGACCCAGGGTTCTCAAGGATTGCCGCAACAATCATATCAACAACCAATCATGCTACCTAATCAATCAGGTCAAGGAACACTTACAGCCACTGGAATGCCTGTCTACTGTAATGTCATACCTCCTGCCCCACAGAGCAACCTACGGTTGATTGCCCCACACTGCCCCTCCAATAACGTTCCAGTTATTTCCGCCAGCTGCAGGACAAACTGTGCAAGCATTAACAATGCAGGGTGGCAGGTCAAGTACTGACACTGTGGCTTAATGTGGCTATATGAGGATAGCGGTGCATTATTTGACAAATAACTCATGGCCTTCAAATGAAGAGGAACGCAACAGGATAATCAGTTGAGGACATAAGTACTGACTATGCTCAAGTGACTTGCTGCTGGAAAAATCTGTAAAAAAAAAATAAAAAGTAAAATAAATTTTGAAAAAAAAATGTTTGCTGGTTAATGGTGCATATTTTTGTCATGTCTGCTAGGTATGCCTTTATAGCTTAGCTAGTGACATGAATTCATTGAGGTAAGATTTTTTCCTACCACTGAACACCACTGTGTAGATTGTAATATCCCTGATTCGGATTAGTTTTGTACTTTGTGTTGAGTTTGTGAAGCTAAAAGTATTTAAAAATATAATAAAATCACATTGTACCAAAGCTGTAATGGAAATGAAAAAAAGACAAAAACAAGCAAAAAAAATTACTGAATGGAAGGAATAATTTATATACACTATAGAGTTTTTTATGGATATATACTGTATTGTAGTGCTTAATCACAATAAAGCTATTTGACCTCATGGAGAAAGGTCATGTTTCTACCACCTGTTTGGTCTCCTCTCTGTTTCTGAGTGAGTGAACGTCCCTCTGGTTCTGCATTGTCGTGTTTCAGGTGAAGCTCATTGGGAAATCATGCTTAATAGGCTCGTGGGAGTTTGATGAGAAGGCAGTACACCTGGATCTTACAATACAATCCCCACTGGGTATGAAGAGTATATTTTGGGGGGGTTTGGCTCTTAAAACATGCATCAAGTGGCTTGCCAGAGATTTTTAGAGCTTTTTTTTAATTCCTGTGGCATTTCTCATAATTCTGTCTATGTACACTCAAATTCCCAGTATGTCCTGATAAATTATTCTTCATTCATGCATGGAGTTCCTCATTCTGCTTCAGTGATGACAACATTTGAGTCACAAATGTGTTTACCAGACAAAAGCTGGTATTTTTTTTCACTTACGCTGTTTTTGATCAGTTTTGAACACCTTTAAAATAAGTAGGAGTTGAATACTCCAGGATTATGCATACACATCACAAAAAAGCCTGATATCCTTCTGTATGTAAAATCTGTATATGTCATAGTATGATTTTAGGTACCCCCGAGATGACAGCAGCCTATAAAGCCCTTGACCATTGTTAATCTGAATGTGAAACCTTTTATTTAACCTTTAGGACAGCCTTTCCTTTACACACATCAGCTGTGGAAGCAGCAACTGGGAAGGCTACAGCCTGTGTTTAAAACAAACCTTCTTCTTGTCTGTGCAATGAACAGGTATCTTTCAGAGCTCAGTCTTTTTTTTTGTATATGTGTCTTAAAGTGTGGAATTTGGTCCTATGGGATCATAAGAAAGCCAAACACTGGATTTTATGCAGTGTAATCACAATTCATTTGCTGAGAGACTGTCAAGAGCATGAGCAGGTAAGTAAACATGCCTTAGCAGAGACGACTAATTGGTTTTTTTCTTTCTTTTTTTAAATTGAGATACTGCATTTAAATTTTGCCTGTGACCCGGAGCTCTCATGTAAGATGCCCTGCATTGTATGGCTTCTTTCCTTTTAATGTTTTATATACTATGGAGGTTTCTTTCCTAGCATTACTATAATTAGCCATAATTGAGTTTGCTGCTGCGTGAATTGCCTGGTTAAAAAAAAAAAAAAAAAAAAATCCATTCTTGGCATCATAGATTGATGCCAAGCTGAGCTGTAGATGCTCTCAGCAGCGATGAGGAAGAGAGTTGATGAAAGACTCAAAAGAGTTTGAATCTCCTTAGGCACATGGGGAAACTGAATTTGGTCTCCTTCAGCTATGGAGAATGCCCTAATTATTCAGTATCACATACCTGGGGGATACCTCTCATGTGGTGGTGCACATACTTGCTTTATGCTGGAAGAATTTATATTTGAAGACAAGTAATTCTGTTTCTATATCAAGTGAAGCACCAAAATTATTCTGTTATTTTTTAATCATACAATATTTTTAAGTCTTTCTCCTAAACTTTTTGTTCATTAATAAAAATATTCTGAGCTGGATTGCTTAGCAAGCCTTCTGCTGTTAAACCAGAGGTGTTTCAGCAATTCAGAGTCCAGCTTGTAGCAGTGAAATGATTTCCAGGACATGCTCTTCTCCTGGGGGGTTGCTCAGTCACAGTGGGCTTATTTTTCTATAGTTTTCTCTTGGAATTTGGCAGGCTCTGGCACCTAATCTGCGGCAGCCCTGGTGGGGTGCTGGTGACTGTTCGTTGCGTTTTCCTTTTCCTTGTTGCATACTTTGGTAGTTGTATATTGCATTCTCCTTTTTTAATATATATATTCTGAAGATGATGGAGAGTTCTCCCAAGGCCCTATACATATTTAATGTGCCACTTTTTTTTTTTAAATTATTATTTATTTATATTGTGCTGAGAAAAAGAGGCATATCCTGAATTAAGCTGATGGCCTCAGGTGACACTGACCAGCCTTTAGGATGGGTCAAATTCATTTGGGCTGTATTTTGCAGATGCTGTATGTCCTAACAGAAGCCAGATGCTATTTGCTGTTGTTTTGCCCGAGAAGTCAGTGTTTTCCTTCTAGAACTGTATTCCCTAATGTTTCTGTTTAACTCTGTGCGAACAGCTTCCCATACTGAAGACTGAAGAAAAAGAAAGCAGAGAGGGAGACTCATTTCCTTCATTTTCAGGAATATGCTGCTCCTGCTCAGCCCAGAGACGATGCTTTAGAAATGTTCACAGCTTCTGTATGCGAGCTCACATTGCCTAAAACCACGTTTCTGGTGTGGGACATCACCATCTCAGCCTTCAGGTGGCTTTTGGTATATAATCTGTTATTTCATGTCAGAATTCCTGGCTTTTCTGAGCATCAGGAGTAGTTGCTGTTAAGAGTGTTTTTTTTATAGTAGTTTGTCATTGACTGAAGTTAATTGTAGGAGTTAGAGGAATAAACTGCAAGAAAGCATCTGAGATCAGCTTTCAAGTGGAAGAATAAAAGGTATTCTGGGTAAACTTATGGCTGGCTTGTTGAAAAGCAGTTTTGAATTCTCTCCTGGTTTTACATGTGGAGAGATCAGCTGCAAACCTACACGTGCTTAATGAAGTACCGTGTCTCAGTTCAGCCTTGTGCTTTCAAGGAATAACTTTGGAGGCTGCAGACTTAGGAAAATAAAATGCTGCCTTTTATGTTGTGGGTGCAGTTTTACAAAGGGAAGTTATAAGAAAGAAATGTAAGTACAAAATAATGTTATAGCAAAGATATATGCTCCCCCATAGAGAAATTGCCTCCTTTGAACTCTACTAAATATATCCCTAGAGGAATGCTTTAAAAAGGTCCCCTCAAAGAGTGCAGTGAATTTTGAGATAGAAAGGCTACATGGGGTTTTTTAACCCTAAGTTCCAAAGGATATATGGGGTTTTTAACCCTAAGGGTCAATCATATGGGTGCAAAGCCAGGCAGTTGCCATACCTGGGCTTTGCTTGCAAATCTATACCCCATCATCTCCACTATCTTGAAAAACTGCTTTTATCTGCATGGAAAACCGATGTACATTAAATTCTTTGGTAATTAATTTTTTTTTAAGTAGTGGCCAGTGGGCCACTGAGTGTGATAGGAAGAGCAAGTAAATTAATAGTAGACCATACTGGACATTTTCTACTTATCACCTATTAACTTTGATCTCACCAGGATCAAATCTCATGCCGGGTGGAGCTTGTGGGGGAAAAGGCTTCTGTGTAAATCTGTGTATGTGATGGAGAAGAAAAGAATTGTTTGGTTTTTTTCTAAAGCTTTTCAATTTGAAACAAAGGTTTTACAAAATTTCTCATGAACCGTGCTCCTGTTTTCCAAGCAAAGTGTTGCTGATTCATTGAGAGCAAGATTTAGTCATGGCTCACGGTGTCAGGAGGTGGGTGGCCACAGCACAATCCTTTGATGTGCAAAATTTCATGCGGTTATTTGCCCAACCAATGATCTTATCTAAGAACCAAGGATGGAAAAAATTGACTTTGAGATCAAACCTTAAATGTCAAATCTGAACAAATTCTGCCTTTGAGATAAAAAGTTCTCAAATACAATAGAGAATATTTCCACAGGGAAAAAAGAAAGGAAATTACTTTCAACACTTCAGACTGTGACACTCATTGTAAAGGCCAGGAGATCAGACCTTAAAGCAAAGTGCTGGATATTTGTAAGCTTCATATTAAATAACAATTTAGAGCTATTCACGTGTACACTCAATCGCATTCACAGTAAGTCAAGTGGAAGCCAACCAGCATGCAGAATCTCCCCAACCCACATTTTCAGAGAGGTTCACAGTCCTGACCACACTGAAGCTTGAGGTGAGGTTTCTCTCCTGCGGAGCAAGCAGGATTCATTTGCAGGAAACTCCCATGTGGCACTTGAACCAAGCTCCTGCGTGTGTTCATGGCCACTCTTTCGTTTCATCTGTACAGATGAAACACTGAGACCTCCGTCATGCTGGAATTCAGAACTGCTCCAGGCATCCACAGCCCTGCTCCCTAGTGGGTGCATAAGCCTGTTGGGCAACATGTTCCCATGACTATGAGCTATGCACAGCTTGATATTTCTTTTATTGCCATGGATATCAGCAAACCACATGTCATGGGGCTCGGTGCCATCTTCCACTAGGATGAAATTTTCAGGGAGTGTTTCAGAAACTACAAAGAGGTCCAGATTATATGGAAGATGCTGGGGTAAATCTGAATGCTTGGATAAATCTGGATCCTTCCTGATGTCCTGGGGATGGAGGAAGAAAAGGTCTGTTTTAAGTCATTCTTGAACAGATTTTATCTTCCCAGTCCATTGGGAAATGAAGATTAGAGATAGCTGGCGTGTGGTGGAAGGAGTTACTGCTTATGTGCGAATAAAGATGTTGCAGACATCAGAGCTGTCACACAGCAGTGGAATGAGCTCTGAACATGAAGCATTCATACAGCATAGGAAAAATTTTGATCTGAGAGTTGCTCTTTTATTTATTCATGTGCTTCTATGCTCCCCTGGACCGGGGTTGTATTTTTCAGAACCCAGCCTTGCACTACAGCAGATGTTCTGTGGCACAGAACTAGAAGCATCACCTCTCTTTTGCTTAAGAAATAATTGGGGTTTGGATCAAATTTTTTTTTGAGTGGGAAGGCTAATTGTCTGAACAGATGTATCTATCTGCTTAGCAAAGATGTATGATAGAGTAACTAATATTGTCCAAGTGTGTAAGGGGAAGCTGCAATTTTTTTCAAACCTTTCATCCAACACAGGAGCCTTCTGGTACACTTTTAACTTACGACCATTCTTCTTGTTAATAATGCATGGGGTTTTTTTAAAATAGGGGATGAGGTTTAACTACAACGGTACCAGTGACTCTTTTAAAACATTTTTGTGCAAAGAAATATATACCTTCTGTATGAGAAACTGAATTTTTTTTCTGCATTCAAAAGCAGCAGAAATAGCTGAGAGCAAGCTGCAGTGGCTAAAAGATAAATTTTACTGCATTTTTTTTCCCCTTTTCCTTTCCTGTTTGTACCACCTAGTTTTGTTCCATGT